GCGGTTCCACCCCCCATTCTGGCACACTCCTCACACGCTTCGTGGCTCCATAGGGAGCTCCACCGAGCGCCCCAGTGGCTGCGCTCGCATGCGGTTCCACCCCCGCATTTCGGCACACCCCTCACTCGTTTCGTGGCCCGGGGGCGCCACCGAAGAATATATCCACAATTGCGGTATTCACAACTACGTATGGTTGGGTCTTTCGTCAGGCTAATTCCTGTTTGGGGGGGGGGACGAAAACGGAGAACAGCCGCGACGCTCCGACCGCCGCGATTCTGGCGCTACTTGGTGCCAGCGCCTGCCCGGGCGGGCAAACAGATCGCCCTCCCGAGACCAACGGGAGCCATCCAGAAGAACCACCTGTGATAACTATCGCCCGGGCAAGGTGCCGAGGCAGAGGGGAAGAGGAGGAGGAGGGGGAGGAAGAAGAGGAGGAGGAGGAGGAGACAATTCACGAACGTGAAAGAGCTGCTGACCAACCTGCAATCGGCGAGCTGGTCCACGGAAGTACTGCCAGAGAGATGGGCGGACGAGCGGATCCATGCAACACCTAGGCCCCGACGACAAAATTATCCTGGCGAAGGTCCCAATCATATGCAGCTGTGGTCACCGAAATTGTGAATATCTGCTTCGGTGAAGCTCCCTATGGGGCCACGAAGCGCTGCACTGGGCGGGGGGAACGCTGTACTGTGTGGGTGGTGTGCCGAATTGGGTTTCCGGGACGCACGCGGACGGTCCCACTGAGGGCTTCGGTGGAGCTCCCTATGGGGCCACGAAGCGCTCTACTGAGTGAGCGAAGGTGCTAAATTGGGTTTCCGGGACGCACGCGGACGGTCCCACTAGGGGCTTCGGTGGAGCCCCTATGGGGCCACGAAGCGCTGCACTGCGCGGGTGAAAATGCTGAATTACATTTCCCGGACGCATATGGACGGTGGCACTGGGGCCTTGGGTGGAGCCCCCTTATGGGGCCACGAAGCGCTGCCCTGGGTGGGTGAAGATGACAAATTGGGCTTCTGGGACGCATGCGGACGGGGGCACTGGGGCCTTCGGTGGAGCCCCCTATGGGGCCACGAAGCGCTGTACTGGGTGTGCGGGACGCATGCGAACGGTAGCGCTGGGACCTTCGGTGGGGCTCCCTATGGGGCCACGAAGCGCTGTACTGGGCGTGCGGGACGCACGCGGACGGTAGCACTGGGACCTTCAGTGGGGCTCCCCATGGGACCACGGAACGCTTTACGATGGGTGAAACGCGGGGAGGAGGGGGAGGAGGGCAACAGAATGCTGTACTGGGTGTGCGGGACGCATGTGGACGGTAGCACTGGGACCTTCGGTGGAGCTCCCTATGTGGCTACAAAACGCTGTACTTGGCGTGCGGGACGCATGCGGACGGTGGCATTGGGACTTTCGGTGGGGTTCCCTATGGGGCCACGGAACGCTGCACTGGGTGGGTGAAACGCAGAGAGGAGGGGAAAGAGGGCCACGAAATGCTGCATTGGGTGTGCGGGACGCATGTGGACGGTAGCGCTGGGACCTTCGGTAGAGCTCTCATGGGGCCACGAAACGCTGCAGTGGGTGTGCGGGACGCATGCGGACGGTAGCACTGGGACCATCGGTGGGGCTCCCTATGGGGCCACGAAACGCTGTACTGGGTGGGTGAAACGTAGTGAGGGGGGGAGGAGGGCCACGAAACGCTGTACTGGGTGTGCGGGACTCATGCGGACGGTAGCAATGGGACCTTCGGTGGGGTTCCCGATGAAGCCACGAAACGCTGTACTGGCTGGGTGGAACGCAGGGAGGAGGGGGAGGAGGGCCACGAAACGCTGTACTAGGTGTGCGGGACGCATGCGGACGGTAGCACTAGGACCTTCGGTGGAGCTCCCTATGGGGCCACGAAGCGCTGTGCTGGGTGTGCGGGACGCATGCGGACGGTAGCACTGGGACCTTCGGTGGGGCCCCCTATGGGGCCACGGAACGCTGTACTGTGTGGGTGAAACGCAGGGAGGAAGGGAAGGATGGCCACGAAATGCTGCATTGGGTGTGCGGGACGCATGTGGACGGTAGCGCTGGGACCTTCGGTAGAGCTCTCATGGGGCCACGAAACGCTGCAGTGGGTGTGCGGGACGCATGCGGACGGTAGCACTGGGACCGTCGGTGGGGCTCCCTATGGGGCCACGAAACGCTGTACTGGGTGGGTGAAACGCAGGGAGGGGGGGAGGAGGGCCACGAAACGCTGTACTGGGTGTGCGGGACGCATGCGGACGGTAGCACTGGGACCTTCGGTGGAGCTCCCTATGGGGCCACGAAGCGCTGTACTTGGTGTGCGGGACGCATGCGGACGGTAGCACTGGGATCTTCGGTGGGGCTCCCTGTGGGCCACGAAACGCGGCACTGGGTGGGGAAGGGAGGAGGGCCACGAACCGCTGTACTCGGTGTGCGGGACGCATGCGGACGGTGGAGAAGAGGAGGGGGCAGAGGAGGAGAGGAGAACGCGGGGACCGTCTCTTCAAAACGAGGACCCAACACCACAGGATGGTTGGGAAATGTCATCAAACCGCAGGGGGAGACTGGACAAACGCGTTGCGCGCGCAACTCCGATGGCCGGTCAGCCATGTATATAACGCACAACGCGCAAGCCAAGCGCAACGCCAAGAGAAGCGAAATAACCACGATCGCTCCAGAGTCGGGCCCCGGGGAGAAGAGGAGGATGGGGAGAGGCTGAAGAGAGGATATCAAGTCATGGGATTCGCGCTACCCCAAACTGTGCGACCAGCTAGACACTATCACCTATTTAGTGCTACGCAGGACAGCAGGCTAGCCAAGGAGAGCCTCAGCGGTTGATGGACAAGTATGTGAACCTGTGGTAACAAGAACTTGTAGAGGTAGCCGTCCCCGAAGAGAATAGAGGACGATAGGCGCTTAGAGACGGGTGCACACGTACCCGGACTGCCAATGGCCCGTCTGCGCAACGTTCCTTGCAATCACCATTGAGCCATTTCATGGTGCTCTCCGTGTACGGACCACAACGACGGCACACCACAATGACGGACTCAACATCGAAATAGAATCGCAAATGCAAAGTTCCTGTTGCTTCGGAGGCCGAATGAGCGAGGATAGGGCAACAGACTTACCAGGGCACACTTCCTCGGTGCGCGCTCTCCTCGTGCTGTCGGTCCTGGCGCGCGCGGCGAAAGCCAGGCAGATCGAGCGTTCATTCAGCCATGCTCACTGGTGTTTGACTGGGGGTGTTCTGGCGCCTCTGGCTCTCCTCTGGGCCCCTGGCTGGGGCGAGGGCTCCACCCGGGTGCTGGTGGCTCCCGCGGCCCCGACAGGGGGCCTGAGGCTCGGGGTGGGTTTCTCGCGCGCCCTCTTCCCCGTCTGCGGGGCCAGCGGGGCCCACAAAGAGAGGGCCTCAGCGGCGCACCTCGAACATCTCTCTCTCCTCTCTCGCGAAGCACTTGGAGCTGGCACTGGCTCGAATTCGAGCTGGGGCGGAGCAGGAACCAAGGCCGCCGCAGCCTTTCCCATCCTGTCCGCCCAGGCGCGGCCTTTGGGCACCAGCCACTCTCTGGAGCCCACCTCGAGTGAGCTTAGGTCCTGGTGGGCCTTGCCTTTGGTCACCTCCAGATGCTTGAAGCTAGGTCGGGCTCTGCCCTTGAAATCCGTCCAGGCCCCGGCGACGCTTGGGCAGGATGCTGAGGCGAAATAGCCCTAGGTGCTCGGCGGCAGGCGAGGTCGGGGGCAAGGCGGCCCCCACGAGGCCAGAGATGCAGGCAACCAGATCGCCCTCACCCTCAGTCTTGACCACGGACCAGGCTGCCGCAAGAGAGGAAGTGGGAGGCGGCGGCGGCGGCGCTCCAGAAGAGCCCAACGTCGGCTTGGACTACGGAGTGTGGTAGGGTAATCCCCTCACATCTGTCAGCTCGGCACAACGTTGCATGTGGGGCACGAGCGGCATAGCCCGAGATTCGGGCGCAGCCCGTGCACGGGCCATGCCAAACGGGTGCGAGCGAGGTTCATCAGCAAGCAGCAGCGACGCGGAAGACTGGAAGCATGAGGAGGAGGAGGGAGAGGAGGAGGAGGAGGAGGAGGAAGAGGAGGAGGAGGAGCAGGAGGAGGAGGAGGAGGAGGAGGAGGGGGAGGAGGAGGAGGAGGAGGAGGCCGCGGGCCTCTGCCAATTTCCGCAAGGCCTGGGGCCGGTTCTGTAAGAGCTCCCCCCGCCTTCCGCGGTCGCCCCGCGGGCTGCCTCCGGGCCGGGAGGACGGGGAGAGGACGGGGTGGAGCTCCCGAGCGAGCGGTCCCCCGCGGGTGACATCCGAGAGGCTGCTCGGAGCACGCCGCCGTGATCGCGGATCCCTGGATGCTCTCCACCAGCGCGGCGCACTTGCGGCGCTGGTGACGGGGCCGCCGCGAGTGAGCGACCCCGACGCTGCGGGGCCAGCATCGAGAGGGCACAGCTGCCTGGAAGACCCGGATGACCGAAGGCCGCGTCGGTCGAGCACGACGCGATTTTTGTGCCAGCTCGGTCCCACCTGGGACGAGGGCGATGTGCAGCTGCTGTGACGAAACTCGATGGGCGGGCCCCTCCCTGGGGACCTCTCGGAAGGCCGAGGAAAGCGCCAACGAGTGTATCGTCTTGTCCTGCTGCTGACCCTTACGTCCCACACCCGTATACTGAAAGCATTGAGCATACCATCCCAGGCGCTGAAGATGTCGTAATCAACGTGCCCATCCGCGCTGCTACCACTCTCGCCCCTCGCTGAAGGCAACCAGGCTCAATATCTGTAACCAGCATCCTCCGACATTGGAAATGTGTCCAGGCGCCCTTGCCCCATACGCCGCCGACAGTACCGATCAAGGTGCGCCCCCAGCACCAGCCGATGGCCTATCGCCGCCCAACGAAAGCATGCGAGCGACTCCGAAAAAAATATGGTCGTTCTTCTCCACTCCTCCTCCTGCTGCTGCTCCTCCTCCGCACTCCTGCTCCAGCTGCTGGTCCTGGCCTGCTGTGCATCGCCCTGGCCCACTGGTAGAAGATCTCCCGGAAAGGCCCGAGGCCGTCGCTCCTGAACATGCTGGGCGCCGGCCTCCGGAGCTCCTCGGGAGGCCGGAGGGAGACGCAAAGGAGGAGAGGGAGGGGGGCCACATGCGAGCCCGACCCCTACCCCCCACGATTTCTGAGGGAGGTAGGGGGTAGGGTTCGCATGTGGCCCCCTGAGGACTGAGGATAGAGACAACGGAGGTGGGGAGAATGGAGGCTTGAGGAGGGGAGGAGCGGGAACGAGATGGAGGAGCAGGAGGGGGGGGGAGGAGCAGGAGGGAGGGGGAGGGGAGGGGGAGGGGGGTGGGGTGACCCGTGAGCACAGACAGATCCAGCCTGCCGCGCTGGGACGCCGCCCTGCAGACTGACCCCCCGGAGATCGGACAAACCTGCGGCGAGCCGGGCTCCAGGGCACGCGGCGGACCTTGCGAGCGAAGGGTCCGAAACTGGGAGCCCCCTTCGGGCTGCCTTTTGCTATAGGCAGCGCGGCGCTTGCACGTACAGTGGGACTTGACTGGGCAGCACGAGCGAGAGGACACGAGACCCTTCCGAGGGCCACGCTGCTACAGGAACGTGGGGGGCAGGGGTCGCGAGGCGCAGGACACAGGGGCACCCTTGATTTGGCAGGGTCGACCCACTCACCAGGGCCGACTGTAGGGGCTCTTGCTTGCTATCCTTATGCAGGTGGACGGGTCCGCCGAGAATCCCACCAGCCCTCTGGGCGTAGGTGGTTCCACGAATTTTGTCTTCTCTCTGTCCACATCCCCTCCTTCCCCTGCTCGGGGGAGGGGTTGATCACTGCTCCTTATTATGTAATATACACCCGCTCCCCCACCCGGCCGGCGGCCAACCCGGAAGCCATGCCGACTCCATGCGGGCCCACCCCCCGCCATCCCTGCCAAAAACAATACAAACCGCACTCTGTCTCCACATGTGGAGCATGCGCGGCCAACCCGATGCGGCCCCCCACCATCCCTGTCAAAAAACAATGCAAAGTACACTTTGGGGCAACGCCTGGAGTCATTTTCGTAAGGCCCGCGAGCACTTTGTATTGTTTTTGACAGGGACGACGGGGGTGTCAGCATATTCCCTGCTGCGCGCAGGGCTACCATGCCTGACCAAAAAACAATACAACATGCACCTCGCGGCTTAATCTGGACCATGCGCGGCCATCCCTGACAGGGACGGCGGGGGTGGTGGCGCGTGGCCTGCTGTGCGCAGGCCCACCAGACACAATGATGGGCATTGGATTTCGATAAGGATGGCGGGGGCCGACATGTTTCCCGATGTGTGCTGTCACGTGCGCAGGCGCACCTGACGCACTCTGCACGTGCCCCGAACGTGGCGCACCTGGCGCGGCTGGAGTGTGCGGCACACCTGGCGCACTCGGAGCACGTGGCGCATCTGGCGCACCAGGCGTGCCTGGCACGCTCGGGCCCCAGGGGTGCCTGGCGCGCGTGGCGCCCCTAGCACACGTGGCGCGCGTCGCCCAAGCGTCGCGCATCTGGGGTCGGTTTGGTTCCTAGTAGCTGCCCATCCAAAGACGACCGCTGAACATGCTCAGGCTCGGGAGTTACTTATGTGTTGGGAGGGCGGGTGGGAGTGAGCTGGACGGCGTGTGGGCGGGTGGGTAGCTTGACCCCGTCCCCCTATCCCCTCCCCTGGGCCTGGGAGGGGGGGGGGCGCAAGGCATTAGAGCGCCAAAGTTGGCCCAAGGTGGCTCCAAGAGGGCCTCAGAGAACCCAAGATGGCCTTCAAGATGGCTCAAGATAGCTGAAGATGGCTCAAGATAGCCTCCCACATACATTAAACACGCCCCAAGACGGCCCCAAGATTGTTGCAAGTGCCCTCCGAGACCTCCAAGGACACCCCCAAGAGGCCAAAGTGGCTCCCAAACCCGAGGGAAATCAATGAGTTTTGCCTTCTCGCCGTTTCGCTTCTGATGGGCTCCCGAGGCCTCCCTCAAGATGGCCCCAAGACGGCCCAAGAGAGCCCCATGAAGGGCCCAAGGGCCCCAAGAGGGCCCCGAGAGCGCCCAAGAGCACCCCAAGAGCGCCCCAAGAAGGCTCCAAGAGGCAATGTTTGAGCCTCCGAGGGGGGGGGCGTGAATTGATGGCCCCCCCCTTTTGAGCGACGGGGGCCAAGAGGCCCCAAGAGACGATCATGCATGATGAGACCCACCTCGAGCACGACTGTGACATCCGTGATGACTTGGACCCCCCTGTGACATCCGTGATGCCTCGGACTCCATCCAGGAGGCCCAGAGCACCGGAGAGCGGGGGCGGCCGCGCGCAGGAGGCGCACCCATGCAGGAGTGACCCCTGGTGCGCGGCTGGAGAGGGCGCGTGGCGGCCAAATCCGAGCGCGCCGGCCGCTGCCGCCGCATCGCGCCCAGCGATCGGGGGGATCACGCCTGCGGAGAAGGCTCACGCGTGTGGTGGAGGAAGGCGACGACGACCATGGAGAGGAGGAGGGGGCGAATACGGGGGACGGAGAAGAGCGAGGATCATGTCTGTGGAGGAGGAAGGCGACGACAAGGGAGAGGAGCACGAGGAGCGAGCGAACACAGGGGACGGAGCAGAGCGAGGATCACGCCTGTAGAGGAGGAAGGCGACGATAACAACCTCGATATGGAAACCAACTGTTGAACGCGCTGTGAGAGTAGGACGAGGAGGGGAGGGAGAACGAGGAGGAGGACAAGGCGTACAATGACTGGAGACGCGACTTGCTAGTTGAGATGGCCCCACAGGGTGGAGCGCGGACCAGCTTCCTCAAGGGGGGGGAGAACACAGGGAGCGATCCTTCTCCTCCTCCTCCTCTCCTCTCCTCCTCCCCGTGCTCCTCCTCCTCCTCCTCCTCCTCCTCTTCCTCCTAATCCTCCTCCTCCGCCTCCTCCTCCTTCTCCTCCTCCTCCTCCTCGTCGTCGTCCTTCTCCTCCGCCTCCTCCTCCTCCTCCTCCTCCTCCTCCTCCTCCTCCTCCTCCTCCTCCCCACCCGCCCCCTGCCCCTCATCCACGACCGCACGGGGGCAGCACAGGGACACGCGCGCTCTGGAGCAGAGCAAGCGCCGAGGAAACCATCCGACAAGAAATGAGACTATCAACTAACGAATTAGGGATGCTGAGACCGACGATTAGAAGAGGGTCTCGATCTTCTACGGCTTCGCCATATATCCAGACCCTCCCAAACAAAATACCCAAGCATGGCTAGGATGAGCTGTAAAGCTCCCTTCGCTTCCTACTCTGGGTCAAGACGAGGAAGAATAACCTCTAGCGCCAGCGCTGCCCTGGAAGATGAAGACGGGGGGAAGGAGGAGAAGTAGGAGGGGGAGGAGGAGGAGGGAGTGAGGAAGGCAAGAGCAGGAAGTGGCAAGAGGAGAAGTGGAGCAGGAAGGGATGACGGGGTGAAAGAGAGGAAAGCGGGAAGGCGAATTCGGGTAGAGGAGCTAGAAGGTTGCCCCTCACTCCTCCCTGCCCTGTCTGCCACAACACAAATGTTCCATTGCATTCAGGACCCGAATGCAAATTACAAGATGATGTGAACATTTGGCAGACAAGAAAGGAACACTCGGCATATACAACTCGACCGCGAACGAACGAATTGCAGACTGCGGCACATGGAACCAGTAATGACGAATTGTTAGATTCAACACGCATGTTTTCCAAATGGCCTCACCGCAGCACAGCAAGTCACCTTATCAGGAAAGTAGCTTCGGAGTGAAAACAGGTCCAGGCTCGGGAACTAATGATCGAGCATACCAGAGAGCGTGTTACTTGATAGACTGAACGGCTCTCCCGCCTTGAAGGATGCCTGATCCACTACTGCGCCCCCCCCTACGAGTAAAAAGACAATCGTGCTAGTCTACATCGGGATCATGGGCCGCCGAGAAAGAAAATCGAGGTAAGGGGGGATATACAGAGAGAGAGAGAGAGGGAAGGAGGGAGGGAGAGAGAGAGAGAGAGAGACAGGGAGAGAGAGAGAGAGAGAGAGAGAGAGGGAGAAACAAACAAGTGAGAGAGAGGGAGACAGAGAGGGAGAGGGAGAGAGAGAGAGGGGGGGAGGGAGAGAGAGAGAGGAGAGAGAGAGAGAGAGAGGGAGAGAGGAGGAGGAGGACCAGTGGAAACCCAAGAACCATCAACGATGTTGGAATAACCCTCTTTCCAAGCTCCCCCTTTATAGGCCCCTACAACGGTTCATTTCCATTGAGGGAACTGCCTCGTTGGAAGACAACCGTTCGAAGACCGAACATGAATCTTGCCAGAACGCCATTCTTGGGGACTTCAACACCGCGAATGAATTTTTAACTGTTGCACCCTCATAATCCTGAGTTCGTCCAAAACACCAGCCCTGGTACTTTGATCATGGGAACCCGTGAAGCCCTTGCAAAAAGTTAGTACAGAGTGCGCACGGCGCTGAAGCAAAAACTATCGTTTGAAAGAAGAAACTGCCCTCAAACCGTGAAATCCTTGCAAATGATATTAACGAATGTGCGCGGCGCTGAAACGAGAACCACACTTTGAGAAAAGACCGTCCCCAATTCGTGAAGCTCTTGCAAATGTTCTTAGCGAATGTGCGCGGCGCTGAAGCGATAACCGCATTTTGAAAACGGGTCCCCCTCAATCAGTGAAGCTCTTGTACTTGTTTGCAGCGAATGTTCGCGGCGCGAATGCGAGAGCCCCCATTTTGAAAAGGACCCGCTCCCAACCCTTGAAACTCTTATAAACTGTTGCAGCGAATGCGCGCGGCGCTAAGGCGAGAGCCACATTTTGAAAACGGCCCGCCCCCCATTTGTGAAATTGTTGTCAAATTTGAAGCTTCAGGATCATAAGTGGTGAGGACGTCTCAGGCCAAACACCCGGCCCGCCCCCAAAAAGTTGCCTCGGGGTGCGACAGGGAGAGGTTGTTATTTATCAGGACAAGGAATTGGGGAGGAGGAGGAGGAGGAGGAGGAGGAGGGCGAGGAGGAAGGCGAGGAGGAGGAGGAGGAGAAGAAGGACGACCAATGGAAACCCAAGAGTCATCAACGATGTTGGAATTATCCCTCCCTCCAAGCTC